TTGCTGTCAAGTGTGCTGAAAAGTTAACGTGGAAGCTAACATCGTAGTTATTAGAGGTGAAATTTTTAACGATAACAGTTCTGTACCCTCTCAATCTTGGCTACCAGCCGCAGTGTCTTTCCATCACCCTCTCAATCACTGTTCCTCTTCTAAATGTGTGCTGGAGAACCGAATAAGTGTCCTCTCAATCTCTGTTACAAATCGCGTTATATTTTGGTCATTTTCTCAGTCTCTAGCAGTCTCTCTTCGTCCACACAACAGCTATAGGAGAAAACTAGAGACTGAGAAAACGATGAAAGACAGTTCCCTTACTGACCAGCGAGTGAAAGGGCACAGGAAACATTGATCAATAGGCGGAGAGGGGAATTCTCACTTCAGACCAGTTCTGCCGCTGGAATAGAGATCAGTTTGCGGGTATTTTCTCACTGAATAGCTTCCAGTTAATTTTCCGGAAAAAAGAGCGATAAAATCCAATTATTAGAGATGAAATTTTTAACAGTAACAGTTGTAGATCCTCTCAATCTCTGCCACCAAGCATAATGTACCTCTACTGCCTTCTTAATTTCTGTTCTTCAAAATGCGCAATGCATGTAAAATGGATACATTATGTGTAACAGATGGATGAGTTGCGGAAAATACACCGTATGTAAATGAAAATGAATGCCCAGTTTATCAAATAGATGCATAAATAGATGAGAAGCAACCAGGCTTTTGCCATATTTGTTTTTGCATTTGCATAATATGCAAGTGCGCATAAAAATTAAAACTATCAGTGCGTGCCAGTTCCGGCCCTAACCTAGAAATTTTAAAAATTCATACATTTTAAATTGAGAATGCCTGCTAAGTGCAGAAATTTTAGATCATCCCAAACTTCGTGCATTTGTATCGCACTGCGGTCTGAATAGCCTTACGGAAAGTGTGATTGCCGGAGTACCGGTCATTTGTATTCCGTTGTTCGGTGATCAAATGAGGAACGCTAGGACGGGACAAAAAAGAAACATAGCGATGATTCTGGACAAACAGGATCTAACGGCTGATGATTTGGCTAGTGCGCTTAGGACTATCATTTATCAGGACAGGTAAATCGTCTACGAATATTTTGCGCAAGTTTACGAATATTTTTGTCAGTAATTAACGTCAATTTACTTACTAACTTTAGTCAGGATTATAAATGCCTTCCAAATATACTGAATTATATTAGGAATACTAAAGGCTGAAATCTGTGGTGCCAAAAAAAATAATATTTTAATCGTGTGTTTTACAATGAAACAAGTAAAAAAGGTGCAGTGCGGTAAAACTTTGTGCATCGAAGGGATAGCCAAAGGGAGAGCACAAGTTGGGACACACTTCGTTAACCCTTTCCGGGGCGCGCCATAATTTCTATTCAGTTTTTAAAAAAATTTGTAATACCAAGACTACCTGGACGAGCAAGAAATTGGTATGATAATCCCATATTATTGATGCTGAAGAGCAGCTTCTTTACGTCCCCCGTGGCTATGCCAGGCTCCGAATAGCTAACTACTGAACGAGGTCTTTTTGGAAGCCGTTCGACTGGTCGTTCACCTTCTCGCGCATTTCATTCGCAAATGATTTTCTCCGACTGGATATTCTCGTTTTGG